TGATGGTTTATTCCACAGTCAGCAACCTGGCCTTGCTCTGACTGATGACATTGAGCTTTTCCACCATCTCTTTCCACAAATGTAGTCTATTTGATTCTGTGTATTCCATGTTGTGAGGACGTGTATAGTCACTGTTTATGTTACTGGAAAAAGATATTTCCAATGAATAGGTCTTTGGTTTGTCAAAATTCTTTCATGCTATCTCCAAAGTCATTTTTACTACCAAAGCCATATTTTCCAACTACTTTTTCTTCTTCTTTATTTCCAACATCGCATTCTAATCACCAGTAATTATAAATGCATCTTGATTGCCTGTTTGATAAATTTCAGACTGCAGAAGTTTGTCTTACATTGTTTCTGTAATTGTTATCATAATGGATTCATAACAGTTCATCTAGGGTATTCATTCATTCATTCCTTCCACAATTTATTGAACATCTACTGTGTGCTGTTCTATACCATGGGAACTTATTGCTAAACAAAGGAAGGTACTTGCACTCATAGAGTTTACAACATTCTCATGTGTGCATAGTTGATTAGTTGATATATAATTATTCACTTTATTTTTCTATTAAGGAGCATAAAAATCTAAGAAAAAAATATATATTTGTGTGTTTGTGTGTGTATACACATATGCACACACACACACACACATATCTCTAAAATCTCCTGGTGTTCAGCCTTGAAGAATCTTTGCAGAAAGGAACCAATGACATGGACCTAAAAATATTTTCTGTATTGTATGTTGTGCTGTAAATTGACTTTCCAAAAGAATATGGGAAACAAGCTACTGAAATAAGAAGCTACTTAGTTTCCTCAACAGGATGAAGGTCCAAACTACAATAAAATTGGTTCTGTGTTTTCCGTGATAAATTAAGACCCTGTCTATTTTCTTCCTGACATGCAGTGTAAAGAAAAAGGACTCTCATATAGAATATTTTATTAGTATATAATATTTTTAACTTATATAAAAAATAACCCACTAGCCCCAAAACTTATGCTAATGTGCAAGATTGTAAAATTTGTTTTAGAAAATTATATAAAGCCAAAATATATTAAGAACTACTATAGGTTTATGAAAATAGTCTTTTAATTATTCAATTAAATTATAAATGACCTCATTAGCATCCCAGTTTTCTTTTTTTTTTTTTTTCTTCATGTCTACAATATATAAATATGCTTGGAACCACTGTACAGAGAGATAGCAGTTGAGTCTGCTTGTCTCCCTACAGCTTTGGTATGCATAAACAGGGCCTCTGGCAGTTTTCTAGATCCACAACAACACAAGGTTTATTTGTTCCCCGTTTGATTATTACAGATTTCACTCATTTCTATTTTGTAATTTATAAATAATGCTACAGTAATTCTTTATCATAACTTTTCATCAACTTTGCATAAATTTCAGAAGTAGTATTAAACATTTCCAGAGTATGGATATATTTGTAATCTTTGATACATATTGCTAAATTTTTCCCCAGTATATTTTCAACAGCCTAATTGGAGCTAGTTTGATCTAGCTCCACATTTCTCCACTCTAACTTATAATTAACTTCATATCTAAATATGGCTTATCCTATTATATTATCTTTAAGTTGGGGATGGGGAGGCTTAACTGGCGCAACCAGAAGTAGTGACTCTTCATTTTCATCTCAATTTACCCTCTGTCGCCTTTGCTAAATTCCACTTGCATTATTTAACTCATTTGATTCTTGTGTTCACAAAAAACAAAAAATAATGAGCTTTTAGCTCATTTAACATTTCTATTTCTTTTAATCATTTTTAATCTTGTACAGTCAGCATTGATTATTCTCTATTCCCTTTATATTCATTTATTCAATTATGTATTCAAGATCAAATGCCTACCATGTGCCAGGAACTATGCTAGATGCTGGGGATTCAGTGTTACAAAAGGCAGCCATAGATCTGACTCTGAACTTCTCTGAGCTCTCTCTGTGCGCCTCCTTTAGAACCTTTTTCTCCTCAGCATTAGTAGTGATACCTATGGCGTAACCGAAATCACATTTTAGAGAGATTCCCAAAGTTCTTGAGTCTTTATTCACTTTTTAGATTATCACACAATTCTACCTATCATAAACAAACAAACAAAATAACATTTTCTTTGCTATCTAGCCTTCTTAGTTTTGGTCAACTGCTGAACTATAGCTTGCCTTTGTTTTCTTACCTGTTATACATTCTAGAAAGATTGTTTGGTTTTTCCACCAAGTTGTCAACCAACCCCTTTCCCACACCTTCCATCTTCAGATCCCTGAAAGTTCACACTATCAAGTTCAGATTAGCAACATTCTAATTTCTTCTGCCCAGTGGAAGGAGATTGCAGATGGCCCCGCGGTTCCCTTGAGATGGGAGGAGGAAGGATACAGGGTCTTAAGGGTATTCTGAATGTTTTGTTCTGGCTTCTCTGTATCTTTTAACTGTTTTTTTTTTTTTTTTAAGTGACTCAGGACCATCAGTGCTAGCATTAACATTTACCTCAAGATTGCTACGGAAGGGCTTGGACTAACATAAAACTTCTAGGTAAACTCTGAGGAAGATTCCACATCTATTTGTTTAACAAATATTTATTGATTTCATCTACACTCCAGCACTGTAGTAGGCACTGGATCTGCCTTACTCAGCTAACTGGGAGTATAGCTAAATTATCCTTTCATTACCAAGCATCCTTCAGTTATCGTATCTACACACAAACTCATTTCTACCACTTAATAAGTTATTGTGTACATTTTGTTGTTTTTGTTGGATGCCGTCAAGCCTATTTCAATTTATAATGACCCCATGTGACAAAGTACGACTGCCCCATAGGATTTTCTTGCCTGTAATCTTTACATAATCAGATTGCCAGGTCTTTCTTCTGCAGAGCTATTGGGTGGGTGCGAATTGCCAGCCTTTCAGTTGGCAGCTGAGTGCTTAACCATTGCATTGTAGCATAATGTCTCTTGTGTCATGTTGCTTCTAAGGTCCTTGAGCAATGGAAAAATCTGGCTAAAGGATGTTAGTTCAAAATTGTTTAAAATTAGTATGTAGTCCTGTATTAATGAAGCGTTTAGTACAGTACTTGGCTTATTAAAAGCATTTAATAAATATTGGCTGTTATTATTTTAATATTGATTATACATTTACCATTTGACAGCAGCAAAATCTCAAATATTAGATGTGAAAATATTAAAAGTATTTAAATATTCATTTCTATCCTATATAAAATACTGAAACTATTTTTTCATATTTTAGTGTATTGCCTCAAAATTTAATATTCAGTGGAATAAAGCATACTTTAAGACTGTCTTTCATTCATAGAAAAAAAGTACATCAAGTCCAAAATCTGCCTTTGGTGAGAGATGAATCCAAATTAAATTCTGATTAAAAGGTTTCAACTCCATCCTCAAAACTGAAAAAAAAAAAATTCCATTTTGTGACTTCTGAAAGATGTTTGAAAGCCTTTATATATGTGGATAGAGTTCTTTCTAATTTTTAGCATATTTCCTGCTAATTCTTAGTTCTGAATTTCTGAAAATGAAATTCACTTATTTCTTACAATACATGTTTACTTATTTGAACACATTCCAAGTTCTTCATGTTCCTTTTAAGTCATAAAAAAGATTAAACATCGCATTTATTAGATTGGGGACAATGCTGTTCTATTGCTTTGCCAGTGACAACAGGTACAGAATTTTAAAACTAATGGCATTTGTTTCATTACTGGTGTGTTCAGGGAGGAAAAAAAGGTTCACTTGGACTATAAAACAGAATGTGCAATTTTTACAGAAAGAATGAAAATGAAGGGGTAAATGAGAGAAAAATTGGTTGAGCTAGGTCAAAATGATAAAAAGAAAGAATTATGCAATAATAAAGTTATTACCTTTAATATTGTAGAATATTTAGGAAGAAAATGAGAGGATGATTTGGACTTGACATTAAAATAATTAAGCTGGAGCTGAAAGGGAAACTGTATATTGAATTAGATATGGTACATTGCCTTACCATAGGCCTTATCTATGCACCTGATTTGGCCAATATATGTATATTCAATTGATAATTGGACAAAGAAATGAAATGATGGGATGTTGCAAACGAATGTTGATTGCAAGTTGCTGGAGAAACAGAAGTGCTTTAACTCATCTCTATCATCCCCAGTCCCTGATATGAAGTAAAAACTCAATGAATATCTCCCTGAGAGGCCAGTAGGAGTGTAGATAGACCATGAGTTCCTGACTGATGAGCTGAGGCTGGTACTTTTATACTGGGAAAATATATACCCCTGCATTCATACCATTTCACTAGTATAACCTTCCCTCTGTTTTCCCTCCCCATTTTCCAGTTACCTTCTTCCTTGGCCCTCTACATGCGACCAAACAAGTCCAAATATTTCTGAGAATTTTATCTGTCCAACGGACCATAACAGGAACCATTTCCTTGCAATCAGTTTTACCTGGCCCCAGTCATCCTACCTGCTTTGATAAAAACTTGTCTCTTCATGCACCCATTTGTTTTCCTACCTCTGTGTTTATTTTTTACTCTTTCTGAGGTATAAGTTATCATTGCTAACTAATTACAAGCATATAAAGTGTGATGCACTTTTAGTGTAATTATTTTGTTTATAGTTTTAATATGTAGATCACATATCATATGCATGATGTGTGATGTGTGTATATATATAGATGACAGAAGTGTATGTATTTTTATTTTGTTACATCTTCTCATATAATCAGAGTAATCAGAAAGCTTTCCTGAGAAATCATCTTCCAAAATTTATTATATGATTTTACATATTTAGATTATAAATTTTATAACAATTTTATATATAAGACAAGGTATAAGAAATATTTTTTTAGGTTAAAGAAACATATTATTGTGAATTTAGTAAAATCATAACTCAAATCTTATCTTTTGTCTGTGGATTATCATGTATATATTTGTATATATGTAACATGTGTGAGTGTGCATGTATACATACTCATAATCGTTTCTTTTTTTCTTTTTTGAAGGGTCACATAATAGCATCCTGCGATGCCTGTGGGGTTATAAAACTATGGGATTTTCGAAAGCTCTTACCAGTTGTGTCCATTGATATAGGTCCTAGTCCTGGAAATGAGGTGAACTTTGATTCAACAGGTAAGATCCTTTTTGTTTAACATTTGTAACCAAGCTAACAACTTAAAAATTGGTTCTGAAACTGTTTTCTGTTTCCACTGAAATGTTTTGGTATTTCTTCCTATGTGAATTTCTATTCTGAATATTATATGACAATACATTACATCATGTTTTATTATATATCATGTCATATCATGAAAGAATTATATACATCACACACTTAAATAAATAATGGGAGAAATAATTGCATGCTCATATAGGTAACACAGGCTCCTAGCAGTGCCTTGCAGAGCCTTGGAACTCATCTCTTAGAATCACCATCCCAGGTAAGTCAGTTGGGTTTTCTGAAGGTAAAACACCTGACAGTGCATAATAGGAAGAAAAGTTTGGTCAATAGTGAACTTGAAACATTATTTTTAATGAAATATTTTAGTCTTGAAATAATTTAGTAAATTACCCCATATTCTCTAGGTTTTTAAATTAATTTGAAATATGTATTCATCTTCCTGTTGCAATGATCTGCTCTGCATACTTTAATATTATTATTTGATTGTGTTTAGCATTTTTTCCATAATGATCTTAACATTATAAATCAGATGCAATATTTTATCCATGCTGATGATGAATAGTGTAGCGACTGACGTTAACAAACACACAATGATTCCAGGTGTCCATTTAGAAAATTAAAAATACAGTTGTATCTGTATCTGCATCTTTAATGATAGCTTTTGATAAGTGAAGAATGTGTATCTGTTATTGGATAAAGTAATTTTTTTACAAGTGTGTTACATGTTTTAACCTGTTTAAATTTTTGAGAATTATAAAAATCTTCGAGTTATTATTGGTAGGAAAAATGTGTGGAAATGATAAATACTTCAATTTTAGATGAGAAAATAAACTGTATATATATTTTATTTAAAAAATAAAACCAAAAAAACCAAACCTGCTGCCACTGAGTGGTTAAGAGCTCAGTCTGCTAACCAAAATGTCGACAGTTCAAATCCACCAGCCACTCCTTGGAAACCCTGTGGGACGGTTCTACTCTGTCCTATAGGGTCACTGTGAGTCAGAATCGACTGGATGGCAATGAGCTTATTTAAAAATAGTCCATATTATTTCTTCAATTCAAAAAGTATGAACATACTGGGAGCAATTCTAGAGTCATAATATTTTTGTGTGTTTTGTGGGACTGATTTCATGATATTTCTATCATACATCTGAAATTTAAAATACAAAAAGTTTGTATTCTTAACAGTTTGTCTTCTTAACAAACTTTAAGTTGTGTTTCCATTGCAGATCAGTATATGAACTACACTAATAACAATGGGCTTTTTAAAAAATGTATTCAGTAATGTTCTTGTCATTAAGATATTTGTGGTCTGCCAGAAGTCAATAAGAAAACATTGTGCAGAATAAAACATTCCAATTATGAGAATTTCATTTTGTAGTGTGAGAGCCTTTTACCTACTATTTCAATTTATAATTTCTGTTATACAAAATCTGCATTGACATTATAGTTCTAAGGAGTTTTAACATGGTTTAGAAACTTGCTCACATCTTTAAATACCTTTTTATTATCTTGAGCTAGCATTCAAGTATTCGATTCCAATTCATAGTGACCCTATAGGAGAGAGTAGAACTACCCCATAGGGTTTCCAAGCAACAGCTTGTGGATTCAAACTGCTGACCTTTTGTTTAGCAGCTGAGCTCTTAACCACTATGCCACCAGGGCTCCAAATAATGCCCTATGTGTATATAACTGCACAATTGTATTCTGTCACAGAATTTCAACAGGGAAATACACTTTGACACAAAGGGCCCACGTTAGTTAATTTGCATCAAACTGTTTCCATGTCGCAATTCTGTGACAGAATAAAATTGTAGGGTTATATAAACCTAGTGGGTTACTTTGTTATTTGTCACAACTTAATTAATGTGAGGCAAGGCTCTGGTCTGCTGTCTCCGCCATACTATTGGACCTGAGGAAAAGTCGTTGAAACATACCCTTCATGTCATCATAATACCATATAATACATGTGGAAGTTTTGATAGCATCCTGTCTAAAATATTTAACACAAAGAATATGAATAGTTGTTAAATACTCTAAGTGATCATCTTAGAAACAAAATTTTTTCTAATCATATTTCATGTCTCTGGATCAGCTTAACTGAAGAACATCTTGAAATTATGAGGTGTGCTATTAAAAAAAAACTTCTCATATGCAACAGCTTGTCTTCATGAAAAAGAATCTCTTGTCACTGCAAATCCAACACTATAGAAATAAATCGGAAGTAGAGTCCATTAGAAGGCTGAAACTGTTGTTTATAACATTTGATTTCAATTTTTATATGCATCAGAATTGCCTCACTTTTTATTACCTTCATAAGTAAATATTTCCTATCTGAACTTATTTAAAAAATTATATACTAATGAAATTGTTCTTTGCTTTAGAAATTGAGATTCTCTCTAGTGTCTCATTTTTAAAAGGCATCTTTGATAAAAATATTTGAAATCTGGGAGTATATAAAAGGATGATAGACTGCCTTCAGACCCTTAGGTTTATCATATTTTCGCCACCTTTGAGACTTTAGGCAAATTAGTTAATCTCTCTGAAATAAATTTCCTCATAGAAATAATGGAAGAAGCATTTGTCTTGCAGTATAATAATGTGGATTAAATGGGATAATGCATATCTTATAATGAGAAACTCTTAGTAAAGTTTTCTACCATGTTTTTTACTAGAGCTGGAAGGGAGGGGGTCTTAGAGTTCATTTCATTCATTCTAGGGATGAGAAAAATAAGTCAACATATTGGTAAGAAAGTAAGATGCCCAAGGCCATATACTAGTTTAGGAAGTTTCTAGTGAAAGCATAAATACTGTAAGAAACAAGGGTCAAAACCTCATATTTATATAGAATTAAACATAATTTAAGGATTTAACTAAGAATTAAATTTATACATAATATACATATAATTTTATATATTCATATATACTTAAAATTAAAAGATTTAAAGATCTATGAAACACCACATGGAGTATGGCTTTCCTGTTGCTATAAGAAATCAGCCTCTCACACATTTAAAAGAGAAGTTACACGTGGCACAGCATTATTTACACAATGTTTTATTCGCAAATACATCGCTTGTGACAAACACAGATTATCTGTGTTTATAGATATATGCGTATATTAGTATTTATAACCCATGTATTTGCAAAGGGATAAGTGTTTCTTTTTCATTAAACAGAGAGCATCTTTCTAATATAATACTACAGATTTTTGCAAATCTTCACTATCTAAATATCTGTCTTGCCATACTCAAAATGCCATATGTTTTACCATTCAAAAATTTATTGCTATTTCAAAAAATGTTAAATGGAATTGCAAGGTGAAAGTAATAAAAATGAACTGGGAGAATTTATACTTACTCACATTTTTCTACATCTCCCATTTTCTCATTTTTATGTAGTTTAGCAGTATTTTTCCCTCCTTTCTAAAAGATAATTCCAGTGAGTCATTTGCAAAGAAGTCACATCCCTAGAAAATGCAGGAACTGAAGTCTGAGCCAGATGGGGACTTTCCAGTAGAAAGCTTATCAGTATCAGATCATCTAACTAAGCAAAGTTTCCACCATTTGGAGAACACCCAAAATATTCTCCACAGGCAGAACCACAATAGAGATGCTAAAATGGGAGGAAAAAATGACCCCATTGAAAAATGTGAAAAGTACCAGATCCAAAAATATTTTTCAAAACATAACCAGATAGACCCAGATTCTGTGGTTTATATTTGATGCACCAGTGTAAAGGCTGTTGTTCATTGCTTTGTATTTAGAAGAAGATTGCAGTTAATTCCCTCTAATGGAAGCAGTGTACTATAATAGAGCACTGACTGGTTGTTGGTTGGATACTGGAGAAAGGAACTGGAGGAACTGAAGGAAGACATGTTATGTAGCTGTGTTGGAGACCTACGTCTATGATTAGTATCTAGTATGAGGTAGACTATGCTCCAGGAACTGAGCAAGGTGCTTTCTCTTTTAATCATCTCTGCTCTATGAGTTGAGTACCATTTCTCCCATGTAAAGATGTTTGAGAGCTTTAATTACATAGGCATATTAATAAAAACATATGTTCTTACAATTCGGTGAAAGCCTAAACTGGATTTTTTTATTTTTAATCATTAGCTCTGGGAAGTTATTAAAAAAAAAAAAATTGGAGATTCATAGGGACTGGTTTTTTGCTTTATCTGTAAAATAAACTGATTCTCTTTGTTTTTGTCTTATCTTTTCTGTGCTAGAAGTAATTTTATTTACTTGCCATTAAGTATGGTAAATAACATGCAAATAATAGCAGGGACACCTTGAAAATTTTAATCAAAGACATATTAACCAAAAATATATTAATTCAGGGACGATATTCATAGTTATGGAGCCCTGGTGGCATAGTGGCTAAGAGCTTGGCTGCTAACCAAAACATTGGCAGTTCCCAGCCACTCCTTGGAAACCCTATGGGACAGCTCTATTCTGTCCTATAGGTTCGCTATGAGTCGGAATCAACTCAATGGCAATGGTTTTTTTTGTTTTTTACTCATAGTTATACAACGTGTTACAGCCATGAATGAGTTCTGATTGGACTCATGCCAATTCTGATTGGTAGGTGACCTTGCCATATCAGTTGTTAGATATTTTGACTCTTCTCACAATAAAGGATCATAAATTCTGAGACATGAAATGCATTTAACTTACATAAATTATGAGATATCAATATAAATGGAAGTAACTGACTTTTACAAAATATAGTCAAATTTATATATGTCACTAAGTCTTGTTCCTTTCAAATATTATGCTCGAAAGATTACATACTTAATCTTCTGACAACACCATTGCACAAACTACGAAGCCTCCCTTCTGGAATCGTCTTCACAGTCTTCGCACTATTGCTGTCTTCACAAATCTGTAAACCCGTTGCTGTCCAGTCGATTCTGACTCATAGCGACCCTATAGGAGGGTAGAACTGCCCCATG